ACTTTCTATAAACATTATAGACCAAAAATCAGAGAACACGTGGGTTTTTTTAGAATTTCGATTGGATAAATAGTTTAAGAAAAAATCAAATAAATCGAACGGCATGTCACGACTGACAGTGCTGAACGCGGAGATGCGAGGAAGGGCGAGATTCCTGTGCCGAAGTCAAAGCAAATCGACTCTAGTGATGGCGATGTTGTTAGGGTCGATTTTACATTGAAACGCTGTTGTGTTGTATATTCTATTGCGAAAGTGCATCACTGTGCATTATTTTTTACTAATAGCGCGAAATCCACTGAGCTGAGATTTTTAATATTAAAAGTTTTAAATTATTAAAAGTTATTAATTAGCTTATTGCCATAATAAAAATATTAAATATCTACTTAATATTAAAGTAAATATTTTTTTTATCTAGAAACGGATTTAACGAAAAGCAGCAGGTCTGACAGTGAACTTGAGTGAAAAATCAGATTAAGGCATGTTTTTTTTTCCATAAAGTCCAATTCCTTTTCAGTTTGTTGAAGGACGCGGAAACTGGAGAATACATTTTTGTTCTAGTTTTCGAAAAATGCATCCTTACTTTTTTGCATTTGGCCATGTGAACTATTCTTTTTGAGGAACATTATATTTGTTGGACATGTACAAATTTGCTGATAAGTATCCAGAATTTCATGAAGACTTTATTAGAGGAAATTTTGTTGTGAAAAGTTGGAACAGAAACTTTTACCAACTATGTATAGATATAGCTTTAAACACATAAATACAAACTCAAAAGATGCAGGAGGAATCGTGTGATTTACTAAAACCAGCACAAAACTAGACGAATGGTTTTTAAGCTACAATATGATTGGCATGATGGTAGATGAATTTCGTGCATCATGAGACCTAAGCAACCACTCAAGTCAAAACGTAGAAAGTAGAAAAAAACGGATGAAAATTGATGAATATTCTGTACAAAAACTACATGATCATTTTTTACGATTTAATGTATTTTTAAAAAGCGTAGATTGTCTTCTCGTAATTTCAGCTAATGAGATTGCATCGCCAAATGTTCAAACATCCTTATTAATATACAAAAAAAAATAAAAAAATGAAAAGAGCCTAGCAAAATTTATTGTTACTGTTGGAACTCCCAATTTTTATCAGCATAGAAAAGAGAATAATCTTCCAAAACTTCGTCGCGCAGATACCAATAAAACTGTCTCTGAAAAGAAGAAAATTATTCAAGCTGAGCAAGAATTTTTACAAAAAATACTAGCAATCAAGGCAATTGAAAGAGACATAAATATTATGAGGATATTTTCAAATAGGAATTGACAGCATATCCAATGTCACTTGTACCAGCAGGAGTTTTAATCGATACCATAAAATAAATCTGCCTTAGGTTCTATAATAAAACAGTTTACAGTTGTTACAAAATCACAAAACGTGTCACATTTTTGATGGTATGGGATTGATTCAAGCCGTTGGCAAACCATCAAATGCCAAAACATTTGACGACTATGCAAGAATTTTGAAATCAATAGTGTTCAAGAACCCCTACAGCGTTAAAAGGATCGATTTTGTTTTGGATCACTACAAGGAATCTTCCATAAAAACTGCACGAGACAAAAGAGAGGCGCCAAAATTGAATCAATACAACGGTTTAATTGAAGGTCCGGATACAGTATTACCTCAAAAATGGAATTCATTTATTAATTGAGTTTTTAATAAAAACCAGCTTACACACTTCGTAAGCAATCAGCTAGTTAAATATTCCTTCACAAATTGTACCGGTCACTTCGTATCCAGCAGAGGATTTTGCGACGTTTTACATTACAAAACAAATTTTGGTTTGAATTCTGAAATATTAGTCTCATCACATAAAGAGGCCGATACCAGAATAATATTACACATTCTGTCAGCAAAAATGGAGGGATATACAAAATGTATAGTCGACTGTAAAGTTACCGATCTGCCCATTTTAAAGACCTTTCAACTCCAGAAGTTTAGATGAGGGTTGGAACAAAGGACAACGAAAGATCTATAGGTATTCACGAACTCTCTATGGATTACTTTATAGGTATCTGCAGTTAAGCTACAATATGCCAATCATATTGTAGCTTAAAAACCATTCGTCTAGTTTTGTGCTGGTTTTAGTAAATCACACGATTCCTCCTGCATCTTTTGAGTTTGTATTTGTGTTTAAAGCTAATCTACAAATAGTTGGTAAAAGTTTCTGTTCAAACTTTTCACAACAAAATTTCCTCTAATAAAGTCTTCATGAAATTCTGGATACTTATCAGCAAATTTGTATATGTCCAACAAATATAATGTTCCCCAAAAAGAATAGTTCACATGGCCAAATGCAAAGAAGTAAGGATGCATTTTTTCGAAAACTAGAACAAAAATGTATTCTACAGTTTCCGCGTCCTTCAACAAACTGAAAAGGAAATGGACTTTATGGAAAAAAAAAACATGCCTTAATCTGATTTTTGACTCAAGTTCACTGTCAGACCTGCTGCTTTTCGTTAAATCCGTTTCTAGATAAAAAAAATATTTACTTTAATATTAAGTAGATATTTAATATTTTTATTATAGCAATAAGCGAATTAATAACTTTTAATAATTTAAAACTTTTAATATTAAAAATCTCAGCTCAGTGGATTTCGCGCAATTAGTAAAAAATAATGCACAATGATGCACTTTCGCAATAGAATATACAACACAACAGCGTTTCAATGTAAAATCGACCCTAACAACATCGCCATCACTAGAGTCGATTTGCTTTGACTTCGGCACAGGAATCTCGCCCTTCCTCGCATCTCCGCGTTCAGCACTGTCAGTCGTGACATGCCGTTTCGATTTATTTGATTTTTTTCTTAAACTAATTATCCAATCGAAATTCTAGAAAAACCCACGTGTTCTCTGATTTTTGGTCTATAATGTTTATAGAAAGTAATTTTTTGCTAAACCCAATATTTTTCGAGTAGAGCGAGGTAAAAGATTTTAAAAATATGGGTTTTCAGAACAAGTTATTTTGTATGAAGGCGCTCCGTATACAACAATGGTTTGACGTATTTTTATAGATAAAATAAAAATATTTCTAATGTCCAGATGGGTATGCAAATTTGATGAATGAATGTTCGGATATTGTACATCCGAAAAACGATGAAAAAAAAATAATTGCATTTTTTTTGTAAGGCTCCCCACCACCCCCCCTCCCACTACGATTTTTGGACGACCAAGTGATTTTGCCTTACAAAGATATTAAAAACCAAAAAAAAATGGTTTTTACATTTTAGCAATAAAGTTCCCACGGGATAACACAATAGGATCCTGTTTAAACTATACTAAAAAGGAAAGCAATATGTTTGCAGAATAGTATGCAGTTTGAAATATAAACGACCACAAAAGAATGTAACAGTAAAATAGAGGAAAGATACATTAGCAATCATGAAATGAAACAAGAAATAAAGAAAGAGAAAAAATAATAACAGAAGGAAATCTATGAGGCCATATATAATAACAATAGAAATAACAGAAAAAACAAATTACACAATTCTTACATTTATACTTCAAATTATAAGTTAACTTACCATTATAAATTTCAAATCACATTTCATAGAGCACACTGAAACAAAAAAAAAAGAATAAATTAAAAACAAAAACTTTTAATACAATTAACTAATCTATGAACAAGCAATATCAGATCAACCAATCATTCACAAATGTATCAGCCTGGGGCGGTAATGAACTCATCATAATTTATTATTAGCGGCACTGCAATAAAAATTAAGACGCAGTGTGTAGAACACCTAGTCAGAGCATGTGAAAGCCTACCATTCTTATCGACGAAGCCTGAGTGAACTAGTTGAAGAGTTAGGCCAAGATTGAGATGTAGGGATGGTGGAGATCAAAGCCCAGAAGATCAGAATTATCAACTGTAATCAACCTACACAGAATAGGAACAAATGGAGGTATCAGCTTAGCAATGTTGAGACTCAACAAAGGTTGTAGCCCCAATGCTGATAATGGTGAATACACTGAAGTCACTGAAGATAATATATATAAAAAAATATATTAATGGATAAAGAATAAACATGTGTAGTTAAGTACGTATTTGAAAAAACAAAACAAATAAAGGACCAATAAAAATTAGTTGAAAAAAGGCCATTAGTAAATAAAGAATAAAACCTAAGGAAATATGTAAAAAATCATAAGAAAATATACAACCTAAAATTTAGCATTAAAGAGTGGTGAATCTAAAAGTAAACTGATTAAAATAAGAAAACTACAAAATATTGGACATGCACTGTCTTCTGTATAATACAATTAATTATAAAGAAAAAATGATATGATATTGAGCCATATTATCTTGAATAAGGTTACAGAAGGGTGGAGTGTACGAATATTCAGTGGTGGTGTAATGTTTTCTAATTCACTAGGGGGAATATACCTGTATTCCAGGCAGATATTTACCACCATTGTGCAAAAGAAACTATGTGAATATATGGGACAGACAAGTGGTAATAGCACAAAAAACAGCTGTCAATTCCCTTTCTGAACATGTGCCAGTCAAGAAAAACTTGCATATACCTGCAAGGCAATTGACCAAAACCACCACCAACAAAATGATTTTACAATATTTTATTGACAAAGCATGAACTGCTACCACCTTATGGGATAGCAGTTACCATTATCCAGTTACCAAATTGGATAATGGTGTTATTAAAGCGATAATCAATATAATGGTGTTAATCTAATGGATAGGTGATAATAATGGTGTTATTAAAGCGATCATAAAATTACTTGATCAACTTTACAATGAACAAAATTTACTTACATATATTGTACAAAAGGTATATATCATTCCAGAGGTCATCCAATCTGAAACCTAGAATATATGTACAGAATATTTAATGTTTTATTTTTTACTCTCTAACCTGGTATAACTTTGGGTATAGTATTTTATTGACTTAATAGAATTGATTTGGATACTCACATTAAAGAAAACTAGATTCCTTAAAAAACTGAGTTTTATTATACACATATCCAAAAAATACTTAACATTAATCAGTACTGCTCAAATAAAAATTACACTAATAAAATGTTTTAAGGGAGTAAAAATAAAACAAGATGAATTTGCATCCACAAATAAATACTCGAAAGATGTTTTATCAGAATTTACTTTTGATGTCAAATGAATAAATATACAAATATCTGGACTGTTAACAAAAAATATATATAACAAACATAAAATATTTGTCAGATTATTTAGTTTATTTCATTTCTAGTGTAGCCATCAATTTGAGAACTGAAAACTTATCAGAATAAAAATATCAAAAATACAATTAACTATAAAAACTGTTGAGTAAATTGAAATAATTTTATTAAATAATCTGTACATAAATTAAGTTTCTTAGTTGTTTATAATTTATCCAGATATTGTGCCAGGTCTGGAAGTCCTTCTTTAAGACCCTTTCTTTTACGTGTGTCCTGAAAAAAAGGTATATTTATTGTATTTGTTCTATCAATAAAGTTTAATTATTATGTAAATGTTTGTGATATTGTAATTTACATACACTGCCTTTTACAATACACAACTAATAATCAAATCACACAATCACTAATATCTTACTTTCATTCATTCGACCTTTGTGAAGCAAAGATCAAGTCAACATCAAATGAATAAAGTGTTGTTTATATAGTACACAGTATACACTGTGACAGTACAGAAATACTGCAGTGATAAGGTTTTTGCCTCCAAAGTAGTTAAATTTGATAAATAGTAGTCTGGGCGCTTCAATAGATGCCAGGGTTACAGCCATACAAAAAATATTGCAGAAAACTTGTGTAGTGTGTGATCAAACATAACGAAGGACTGTACAACCATCTAACTAGCTATCAAGAATGCATAGTCCATAAACATTTGCAACAACAACTGCACCCCATATTCTGGAAAAAAACTCAAGCAGCAGCAGCATAATATAAATATTCACCCTAACAATACCTACAAATCCATAAATTCAAAATTGAAGTCTGGAACACCAATGGCCTCCAAAATCGCTTATAAAAAAGTCCTTTACATACTTCTCAAATCTTAGACCGCCTCTAAAGCAATATAAATACAATACAAAGGTTCCAAAATAAGATAAGGATGATTCTTGATGCTTGGAACTATGTACCCCATACCATAACTATAATGTACCGTAACATCATGTATTTAGTAATAGTTCTATGATAAAACAGAGTTTGAAGTAACCTGTACAACTCCAATCCTTGATACTAAAAACTCTGTCATTGTAATTATAATATTTATTCAAAGATATAAAAAAAAACAATCACCAATGTTTATTTCTTTGAGGATACTGAAGTAATATCATAATCAACAAAAAATATTTTACTTTTGATACCCATTTAAAAAATGTTGTCTTACCTGCACAATTCCGTATGGTTTGGTGCCAGGGTCCATTGGGTCACCAGGTAATATTTGCCAATGATCGAAGACTGATTGTGGGAAGGCTTGACCTCCAGTGTTGGACCGTAAATCAGCAGTAAAACCGAACGATTCATTTACAGGTAAGTAAGCTTTTACTAAGAACATAGGTGTACCAGCGATTTGAGCTTCTTCAAATACGTGACCACGTCTTCTATTTAATACACCATAAATACCACCAACAGCAACTTCAGGACACTGAAAATTTTAAAATCAGCAACTGTTGCTTGCATGTAGATAGTAAAACTTACCATAATTTCACACTTGTATATGGGTTCCATAAGTCTTGGTGATGCTGTCATTAAACAAGCATACAAACACCTACGGGTAGTTGGAATGATTTGACCACCTCCACGATGGATAGCATCAGCGTGTAATGTAACATCATAAATGTTGAATCTAACAGCTCTCAAGTTTTCTTCAGACAAGACACCTTCCTTGGTTGCCCATTGGAAACCAGCTACCACAGAATCTTTGATTTCATTAAGATATTGCACTCCCTACAAATATAACAGTAATTCATTAGTCAACATCAGCTATCATTAATGCAAGGAAAATTAAATATTTACCTTAGTACAATCAACAAGGATGTTGGGTCCAGTACCATCAGGTCCAAAGCACCAGATCTTACGGGCTTCAGTTACATCATAGTCATACTTTTCAGTAAGATAACGGGCACGGACTTTGAAGTCATCACGTGGGTTAACTTTACCATCATCAATATCTTCAGCAAGTCCATCAGGCATAGGACAAGCTTTCATGAACAACCTATAAGAAAAATGAGTAATTTAGAATGAAAACCAGAAATTTTTTAGTTAAAAATTATGTCTAGATAAAAAATTGTTTGTCCCCCTATTCAGACCATAGAGCAAAAAAACTCTAAGGACGAAACTTTAAAGACAATTTTATTTGCCATCATTTGCGAGTACTAAACAGTATGTTTAACTGTTTAATATTGTCTGTGATGGACAAAATATATAAATACTAATTATAAAAGTGATGAAAAATGAATATCATAATGTAACTGCACAGTGATTAAAATGTTTCTGGCAAAACATTACAGGAATTCCAAAACTGGAGGGATCTAATATTTCAGGATAAAAAATTTGAATGTACATCATTGTTAACCATTACATACTTCCTTGGCTCTATGTGGTAACACTTGGGTTTCACATTCATAAAAAGTTCATAAGTGATTTCATGTTCATAAAAAATAAAGATTCATTACTCAATCACTGAGTTTTTTGTGATATTCTGTTTTGTATTGATTGTGAATAATTTGAGAGTAACTGAATACTTTATTTTTAAGTTTTATCAATTTAATGAGGTAATACTTTCTTGTGTAATGATTGAGAGGAGACATCTGGCAACCAGTTATGTTAGGGGGGAAATTTGATTTCGGTCCTACAAATAGTTCTTTTGCGAATTAGTTCACTGAACTAGTTCATTTTTGTGAAATAGTTCTCTTGAACTAGTTCGTCTAAAAGAACTAATAAGCACACCTCTAGTACTTACATCATAACAGGTACATAACTGTTTAAAGGTTAATCAGTGGAGTTTTGTTTAGATATACCTACAGAAAATTGAAATGGAGTATAGATAAATATACCTGTAGTAGTTGGGAATAAAGTACAGAAGAACCTTAACAGAAAGAGTAGTCATGTGGCAGATAAATTTACCAAATTATCATAAAATAAAGGAGATCATATAGGATTCATTTGATAGAAAAGTTGTTAAAATAATGTTGACAATGTAACAAATTAAATGCCATATTGTCATATTTAAAACCTTACCTGTTGTGTTTGTTGGGTGATTTTGAGAGGCACATCTGATCAGACTCTTCACTTACTGTTTCACGGTAAGATACAACAGGGTCAGATTTCTTAATGGGAATGCAGGCATGATCTTCTTCAAGATCCTTAAGGCAAATTTCAAGATGCAATTCTCCAGCACCAGCAATGATGTGCTCACCAGATTCTTCAATGATACATTGGACCATAGGATCAGACTTGGTCAAACGTTTCAAACCTGCATCAAAAGAAAGATTGTAAATAATATACAAAAGATTTAATAGTTACAATTCAAAGGTGATGGATTAGGATGTGTATGATTTACACCGTAGCATATCACCATTGGACATAAAGATAGAGGTCCTGTAACAGCGTTTAAATGTAAGTCATTGATTATCTTCTTCCATTGCACTGCCAACAAAGTCAATGTTTGTATAAGACAAAATAAATTTGCCATACAGCAAACTCTTTAGTGGCTCTATGGGTGCTGGAAGGTGCTGATAATGAAACTGGCTTAACAACTATTACCTACACTATTAACAAGCAATAATTACCTTCTACAAGTTTTGGCAAATCAGCAGGGTTTTTAGGTTCAACAGCAACACGTACTACAGGAGATACACTGAACTTCATGACCTTCAAGTTGTGAGCATCCTTGAAAGTTGTAATGGTACCAGTCTTAACCAAGAACTGATCAACACCGACCAAACCACAGATGTTACCAGATGGGACATCTTCAATAGCTTCAACATAACGACCCATCATGAGAATAGTACGTTGGATAGCCTTTTCATACAAATCTTCCTTTTTGCCAGGGTGTAGTTGGGTCCCATGATACGAGCTTTCATTCCAGTGGCTACTTTACCAGAGAATACACGCCCAAAAGCATAGAAACGACCTTTGTCAGAAGTGGGTACCATTTTAGATACATACATCATCAGAGGTGCATTGGGGTCACAGTTCTTAATACCTAAAAAATCATAAATCTGTTAGTTTTAAATATTTACAATAACAGAAATATCACGATTTAAGAAAACTGCTTACCAATAGCTGCTTCATCATCATGAGGTCCTTCATACAACATTTCCATTCTGTATTTCTGTGCTACCACAGGTGATGGTAAGTGAATGGCTATCATCTGAAGTAAAGCTTCTCCAGCTGGCAACCAAGTACGCATAACTACCTTCAATAATTGTTTACCATCCTTGTCTTTGTCTTCATGTTTTAAGGCAATACCCAATTTTGGAAGAAGTGCTTCATATTCTTCTTTCCTTCAAAAGAACAACAGCATTAGGAACAGTTTTTTATCTAATTAAAAATATCACCTACTTGTAGTTCATGATGGAGTCAAAAATCTTGTAGATTGGATCTAAGATGTACATACAGAATGAACGTTTATTATCATCATCCTTTTGTTTGGCCCATTTCTTGGTTTTTGGGTTGAAGAAGTTCTCACCCCACAAACGGTTCATTAGCTTGACTACATCAATCTTGAATTTCTCAGCATACATCTCAGAGAATTGTTTGAGAGTGAAGGCCCATCCATGGAGACCAGATCCAAAACCAACTGAACCTTTGCTGGGGTCAACCTAATAAAAATTATATATTCAGAAAAATCATTTAAGAGCGTAGGCGTAAAATTTCAGGACAATGCTTTTTAAATGCATTCATTTTTTTTAATCCTGAGAAAACAAAGTATTTTTGAAAAATTTAAACACAGAATGAAAGATTACATTATTACTGAGGCCCGAAAGTCCCTGAAAACTTTAATGTTTATGTTTAGTGATTAAACTTGAGAAGTCGCTGGTTTAAATTATATTGAATAAATAATTATAACGAAAAAATGTGATATTGTTGATACATAAAATTGGTGAAAATAGCAACTATAAATCGTAAAAGTAGAAATAAATTAGAAATAAACTGGTTTACTCATTATCAATGTTTTTATACAAGAATAGACTTACCCTTTGGTTCTATTGATGAATTCGTACCAAGCTGTAGAGTTGGCCTGTGGTACCGACGCACTGGACGCGGGACGTCGCTTCGTCGAGACAGCACAAGACCGGTCAATGTGTTTTCGTTCACTCGTGACGAAGAAGTGCCAATTGAGAATGCGTTAATATGGTCAGAGTTAAGGACCCTCGAAGCGGTGTGGTCCGTAAGGGTCTACGCATAAATCTTTCCATTGTATGGCGACCTTCTAGATAATCTTAGCTAATTGTGACCGTAACACGACACTTTAAACTTGTGTGTATGTTTTTGAACCATAAAAAGAGAAGCCAAATTCTCCGTATTTACAACATCATAAATGAGATATCCAGTTTAAGATTTATGAGTGAACAGGAAATAATATATTTTAAAAGTTCTTTAGAATACAACCCTAAGTTAGATCATATTACAGAACCGGTACCAGAAAAAATATTAAATGTAAAAATGCATACTTTCCCAAACAGTTTATTTTAATAAGTTACAGAAGTGAAAATTTAATGTGACTTTAAGAGATTGCATTTAAAAAGCATTGGGCCCAAAATTTTGAGTCTACTCTCGTAAGTAAAAACAAAACAAATACAGCACTAATATATATATATTGTATCACTGTAGGAAACTGCAGTAAATATTAAAAAACTTACAGCAGGGCAAAATATGACATTTTATTTATGAGACAAATACCTTTGTTTGCCATAAAAGACAATACAAGTAAGAATTGACTCAATGCAATTTCTGGCTGATTATTTATAAAATACTACTTACTCTGACTTCACCCATTGGACCTGCATCATCATTGTAGGTGGCAATAATTACGTTGACATTTTCAACAATACGTTGGAAAGTCTGATAAAGTTCTTCAGATTCCAACTGTAATTCTAAGAGGGCTCTGTCCATCTTGTTCATGAATAAAATTGGCTTAATACGTTCTGCGATAGCTTGACGGAGTACAGTTTCAGTTTGTACACATACACCTAGATAATAAAATTGCCTCAGTAAGTTTCAATTAAACTGTTTCTATTTTATTTTGAATTCAAGTAAAACAAAATATGTCCTTAAACCTTTAATTTTATATTTCATAATTTGGGAACATTACTGTTTGATTCTGCTCTCACAAACCTTTACTATCTTTTAAATATGAAATCTGCAGCAAGAAAAACTATTGAAGATGTAAGGGAATACTAAAAATAGCCTCATAATCAGTTGATGTTTGGAACCAAAAAAACAATTTAAAATTTTAACAGCCAAATTGAAGTATTTTGTTTTATTTCAAGTGAAGTTTAGAAGTTATGGAATTATATTTAACTCACATAACACCTTGACCAAACAGGGTGTGAGTTAAATACAACTCACGTGGCATTTAATGTGCTAATAATAATTAGTCACACTTATGAAATGATGGACACATGTGGGTGCTAAGCTAATTTGGGGAATGGCAGCAATTTTTTCAATTAATCAGGAAAATATGTAGAAAATGAGATCAATCAAAAACCTATGTTAAATTATAAATGGATTTTATAGATTTAATTTGACAAAAAAGATCTTACAAATGTTTGAGGTAACTGAAGGTCAATGATAATTGTAAAGATTCGTGAGCTACTTGTAATAGATGTAATGCAATAATTGTATCATTGTAGGAAACTGCAGCACATATTACAAAACATGCAGCAGGGCAAAATATGAATTTAATCTATGAGCCATATACTGTTGTTAGCTATAGTTCACCAACACTTATGATTAAGCTCAAAATATACACTTAACGAAATCAATACTATTAAGTATCTTTTTCCTCATTATATAAGGACAACTAGGGTACTATTTTCTTATAAATTCAAGATAAAATCATTTAATAAGTATAACACCTACCAGACACACAGTCTACTACTACAAGGGCACCATCAGTGACACGAAGGGCAGCTGTTACTTCTGATGAGAAATCAACGTGTCCAGGAGAATCAATAAGGTTAATCAAGAAACCTTTCTCATCTTTTTCACGTTGGTCAGGGTTGGTGATGAACACAAGATCTTTATCATCTAACTCGAAGAACATAGATATGGCACTAAAATAAAATAAATTATTATGTGTATATAGAATCATCTCACATTAAATGCTTCAAAAGAGTAATCTTTTTATTCTCTATTAAGTTGTTGAATATTATTATTGTATTATATTGATATAATATTGCTCAATATGTATATAATATCGATACATTTTTGGCAAAGTAACGTAAGTGACATTTTTGGAGAAAATCATGTTTTTCAATTAAACTAACACTATTATTGTTAAAAAGGTACTGCCAAAGTGTAGTAAGCCTAGAATTACTTTAAACCTTTTTTAGGACAAGTAGGACAAGTTTTTTCAGTCATAATTTAAATAAGTTTAACCAGGTTGAAATAAAAAATTGTTTTTTCTACAAATCATGTTTGGTGACTTACGTTACTTTGCCAAAAATGTATCGATATGCAAATAGTAAAGGACAAGGTAGTTTATGATAAGTTTTTTCAAAGTTGAGTTTACATTAAATCATATATAATGTATCTTTTGGTAATATTATAATAACAGTTTTTATTAGGTTTTTTTCTTATATTTTTAGATGATTAAATAGCATTGAATTGTTACTAATGCAAAGGAAATACAGTGAAGTGATTTACTTATATGATATAAAGTAGTATAGTAATCAGCTACTGAATTCTACAATATAATAAACTTAGTTTTTATAAATACCCCAAAAACACGAGTAGAATTGTAATTTACTAAAAAAATATTAATAAGAATTTTTTGAAGTTATTTGTTGATTGGTTTTCTTCACACATAAATTAAGACTTAATTTAAACAAAACTTCTCTACTATACAAAAATAATTACTTCGTAGTTACACTTTATTTTATAATGCATAACATATTCAACATTTATGTCCCCTTGATGTACAGATGTCAATGTTTGGCAATGGGTAAGTGCTGAAAGCTCGACATTTATTCTCATATAGAAGAAAAAATTAACAGAATTATATTACAAACATATTCTTGAGGACATAATAGAGAGTTTTTGTGCAAGCAAATACTGCACATTAATGGTTGAACTAAACGTATCTAGTTACATATTACCTATTGTAACGGGCTCATATGTTACATTCATATGTAACAATCCTAGGATAGATGAATAAGGATCTTACCCTATTACCAAAATATCAACATCCACATTTCATCAGCACACATTTGATTTTAATAAATAATGGAAAGCAGCAGAAAAGACTTCACTTTAGCAATGAAGATGTTTTTGTTGAAGGAAGTCATAGGCCAGAATCCAGAAAGGTGAAATTTAATCAAAAAACAAAAAATATTTTTACATTCTAGATCAGACATGGTATCTACATTAAAACGACCATATAGTCGTGCAAGATGTGGAGGAAAGGGCAATTTCTATGTCCTCGTCTTCAAAGGCACCTACATTTATTATTGCATCATCCAAAATTAAAAATTGTTTAAAAAATACTTATTTATTTTGAATATCCAAGTGACTAAGAGAAGACTGGCACTGACAACTTATTAGTTTATCACTAATTCGGTGAAGGCAACACCATAATTACATGCAGAACTTCTCTCAATTTAACGTTCATCTTCTTTGATACTTTAGTTCTCTACTAAAACAACTTAATCTTCCAATATGACAACTGCCAGTGCATACAAGTAGAATTGTTCAATAATGGTTAATTTATTAATGTTTGCATTTTGAGAACAATTTCCTAAGTGAAAATTAAAATGTTAATAACATTACTTTAACCTTCAATTACAGCTTACTCCCCCTAAAATAGTAATTACTTTAAAATACCACAAGAAAATAGCTTTAGGACAATATTAAACATTCATGTTTTGTCCACAAAAGTAAATCAGCACCTTCTGCTTTAAATTGTTGATATTCTCTATAATCTATTTGCTTCTACACTACTAACTATTTTTCTTTTCGAAATTAAAATTTCCATATTAGTTTGACCAATTTAGTCCCACTAATATTTTCCAATTCTTTTCTTTTAACCTTCCGCAGATAACGTGAAACATTTTAAAATTTTTGATAACGTCGGTCTAACAAACCGACTTTTTCTAAAATTAAAAAAAAATAGAAATTTAGCTGTAGGTGATAAATATTTGTAATAATATAATTGTGTATATTATTCTCTATACAAATATATAAAATTTATAATTTTTTTGTTATTTTAATAATTTTAAGGAGATATTAAAAAAAAGTGTCATTTTTATGAACAGTCTTTTAATAAAATCAAAATAATTATAACAAAAAAAATAAATTCTGGTTTCACTAAAACATAAATCAGTTACTTGTATGTTAATAAACAGAGAAAATAAAATTTTACTCTCAAAATTTTCACAGATCACTGAAACTATTCCAAATTTTGGGCACCATAATTTTCAAAACAATGCCTGGATATTTTCGCCACCTTGTAGTTCCATCTTTACCGATAAGGCAGGGTATTCTTGAAGTACAAGCGGTTTCTTCAAGAATAGGTAAGTTTTGTTGATTTTCAAACTCCTCTTCAGAGTATATATCCTCAATAGTTTCTATAATATGGTCGTCTATCAAACTCACATCATCATCATCTGGTTCTGCCTCTGAATCATTTAAAACTTCCCCATGAAGCCGCAACAGCCATTCTTGTTCCCTCTCGTAATTCATTAGAAACGTATGCCCTAAAATATAATATAAATCAATACCGCAAACAAAAAATCAAAAAAATTAGTCTTACCTCAAAATGTAACGGCAACTATAACGTCGGTTTGTGGGACCGAATCGTGTATAATACTGAAAATTCTTATTAAACGATACACGCTGTCCACTTGCTAAACTATAACTGAATAGATACAAGCACGTTCGAAAGGTACTATGAGGTGCAGATTGAAATAAAAATTAGCAGCGCTTAAACCGCGAAAATTTAAATCAGTCGGTGCGAGAGACATAACGTTATCAGCCGAAGGTTAATTTCACATTGTACTGCATTACAATTATATCAGATGCACTTTCAGGTAAATCAAGGGGTTTGGATTCAGCATCTTTTGGATTAGCTCAACTCTGTATGCCTGGTTCATTCAGTCTAATGATTAAATCCTATTGACACAAATATATGATTGTGCAATGTGGTGTTACCATATCTCCAAAGTACATTTGAGTGCAGTAAACAGATGTAGGATGCAGAAAGTACATTAGTTTATCAATAACCTAAACTAGGTGTATGCAATATTGATTTTTGACAACAAAAAGTTATAAATTATACTATTTTAATAATAGTAATTCTATAATAAAATTAGAAAGTGGATAAAAATTGTTTGTCCCCCTATTCAGACCAAAGAGCAGAAAAACTCTAAGGACGAAACTTTAAAAGACAATTTGATTTACCATCATTTGCGAGCACTAAACAGTATGTTTGACTAATTAGTATTGTCTGTGATGGCCAAAATATGTAAATTTCTACTAAAAAGTGATGAAAAATTATATTATAATGTAGCTGAACTTCTTGGTACTGAGAATATTGATTTTTGACAACAATAAAATGTTGCCTTTGTGCAATTGAATCCACCAAAGGATTTAACCAGTCTAAACACCCTTCTTTAATAGGGTGTTGCCTATAACTACAGTTTCAAGCATTGGCTGATGCATTTCTAGAAGTGATCAGAAAAAAAAATGAAGGGGCTTTCATATGAGTATATCTAAATACAATCACAAAGATAACATGCGACCTATGGTTTTTTAAGTTTTTTACCTGATTTTTTTTTATTTATTATTCAGTATTGTACTATTTCTATGCTTCTCAGTTTCAAATGATAAGGGCCCATTGATTTACAAAGAAACAATCATTTTAAAATCAAAAACTCAAATCTACAAATAAAGTTTTTGAACAATATTGATTGATAAGAATGTAAATTTCTTTCATTCAAAAAACAATGGCAACTTAACATCAAACATAAGCACGTGTTATTACAAGATTAGTATATTAATAGATATTGTGCAATATTGTTTTCAGTACATGCATAATACATTATAATGGATTTACTAACAACTTAAATGTAAAGTCATTAAAAAACGTCTTTGAAAAAATTGTAAATATTTTATTTACTTACGTTGATTTGATGGTAATACAACGTTCCTGTTCATCTTTTCTTGTGTCTGTAAATCTGGTTTCTCCAGCTTTGGCACCAGCAATAATACCAGCTTTTGATACTAGAGAATCTGTTAATGTAGATTTACCATGGTCAACATGGGCAATGACGGACATATTACGGATGTTCTTCTTTTTGTCCATCATGGTCCTAATTTCATCTACTGTGAAGTTCACCTACAAGAAAAAAAGTTTTAGTAACAATTTAAATTTGTAAATAGTTTTAGCAACGATATTTGCTATTTACAGTTTTGGTAAAACTCAGAAAATGCGGTCAATACTAATTATAAATATTTTTATTTCATTTTAAATGTATCTACACAAAGTACAGGTATTGGCAACTTACCATATTTGTTGTTTTTACTTTCGGCAAATATTACGACTAACAAAATATTACCGAAAATAAAAACTATACTTCTTAACACTGTCAAATTGCAATTGAATTAAATATACAACCAAATAACAAAACAATATGTAAATACACTAATTTTCAAGACCTTTCATACTGTTGTGCAATTTCTCAAAAATGTTTATAATGTCTATCGACCTTAACTTTTGATAAAAATTTGGTTTTAAAATAATAAAACAATATTTGAGTTGTTCATATTTGCAATTAAAAATTATTTAAGGTACATACCATTTTGGATGTTTGATGATTTTCTCAAGCACAACCAAAAATTACGATACGCCAACGATGGCGCACTCCCGTGAAAGAAAGAGACCGACTCTCTGCCACGCCGTAGACACTAGACAGCTTGTCACTGCCGCCAACCAATTGGATGAAATCCCAGAAATCTTTTTAGGCACATTTTGGCAAATTTAGAATTTGTTAAATATAAAAACAATGACAACAATTTAATTATAAATGTGTAAGATTTTAAACAATTATTGTATTATATACTTTATTATATAGGTTTTATAAAATAGAAAGGGTATAACAACAATATTAAAATCAATTTTGAGACCATAAGAAAGATGCAATAAAATGTTTCTTTTACGAAGAGGGCTTTGAAGAAAAACTTATAACAAGGGCACAGAATAATAAACAAACAATTTATTCTGTGACAGGGACTGCTTTTGTAGATCTGACAACAGCCTATGACACAGTAAGGCACAAAACATTGCTCCGCAAATTATACGACACTCTCAATGACCACCATCTGGGAAAGGTCGTATATTCCTTACTGCAAAATAGACGTTTTTTCGTTATGCTGGAGGGTAAAGTAAGTAGGTGGAGAGTTAAAAAACGGCCTTCCACTGGGAAGTGTTTTAGCACCAATGCTCTTCAATATATACACAAACGACCATCCTACTCCGACCGAAACCAAGCACTTTCTCTATGCTGACGATCTTGCAATATGTGCTCAAGGAAATAGTTTTGAAGAAGTGGAGGAGAAACTGGAAACTGCCTTAAAAGCAATGACAGCGTACTACCTGCAGAATTCTCTGAGACCCAATCCCTCTAAAACCCAAGTCTGCGCTTTCCACCTTCGCACAAAGGAAGCCAAGCGAAAACTCCAAATTGCGTGGAATGGTAATACATTAAAGCACACAAATTACCTATATATCTTGGAATAACTCTGGACCGGTTACTCACCTACAGACAACATTGCATAAAAACGAGAGGGAAAGTAATAACTAGGAACAGCATACTCAGAAAGCTTACGGGAAGTAAATGGGGCGCACGTCCTGGCGTTTAAAGAACAACGGCACAGGCACTGTGTTTCTCAACTGCTGAATATGGGTGCTCCGTTTGGAGCAGATCTGCCCACACTAAACAAGTTGATACTGCGCTAAATGAGACATGCAGGATAGTAACGGGGTGCATGAAACCAACGCCACTTTCAAATCTATATAGAGCAGCGGGTTTTGCAGAACCCTCAACACGCAGAGGCGTTGCAGAACACATAGAGAAAATTAAACAGATCGCGGACGAGCGGCATGCCCTATACAAAGCTCGAACACCACGAAAGCAACTAAAATCTAGGAAAAGCTTCCTGGGAACAGTGCAGGATGAACCGCCTGAGTATTTTCCACTTTCCCAGGTTCAATGGACCGGCTAGGCCCTAGACTTTAAAACGTGGAATAACTTTGAATAGGATAAGAACGGGGGTCGCTAAATATCGATTTACCAAGAATCTGTACGCCGCAGAAAAGCATAATGTTTCAAACAAGAAATGTAGCTGAGATAATTTTGAAAAAAAAAAAATGATTATTAGCAGTTAGCACTTTTTCTGTAGAATGAACCGTTGTCTCAGAAACAAGCTTAAATCGACCGGCCATTTTGAATGTCAGTTACGCGCGCTAAGTCCGTTTCCTGGATAATGCGTTGGGTCTGTAGGGCCCATTGCCATAACGTCGTCATTAATTTCGATGTATGTGTTTGTACTTTTCCATTTCTGCTCGTAGCTCTGTCGATCCAGTTTGAGGATCTTGCATTTAGGTCTCCTATTATTATTGAGGCTTCGTCTTTTAGGAACGTGTTTAGGTCATCTTCGATCAGTGGATCTTGTGGTCTCACGTAGGCGGAGGTAATTCTGACTTCTCCTTGCCTCATTTGTACTCTTATTGTTGTTGCTTGCATAGTATTTAATTGTGGTATTAGAATTCTTATGTGACCTATGCCTTTTTTCACTAGTATTGCTGTACCACCTGATCTTGCTGTATTGTCGTTCCTGTAAATATCGTATCCTGGAGACTTGATGTTGATGTTGTTCGTGAGCTTTGTTTCCTGTATGGTCATGACGTCCATTTCGTATCTATTAACCAGTTCGTCCAGTATATTCTGGTTGGTCCTTATGCCTCCTGGGTTCCAGGAGCCTATCCTTAAGTATCCCCTATTTGCTTGCACTAGTTCAGTGCTAGCTTTATGTCCGCTACCGCCTCGTTGACTACCCTAGTAAGTACCCCTTTTACAGAGCTTACTAGGCCATCTTGGTGTAGTCTGTATTCTCATTTTCTTGGGCTTTGTTGCCTGCACGTAAGAAGGTCCGCTGGGTGTGATTTGCAGCCTTCTTTGTGTCGTTGGTTTTTATCTTATTTGGGCTTGTTGTTGGCGACCCCAAGTTATACATCTTGGGCATCCTCTGAAATTTGCGGGGTGCTGTTCCTGACAGTTAGCGCATTT